TTTTTTTTTTTTTTTTTTTTTTGTTTTTGTTTGTTATTAATATCATCACAAGTTAAAACGATAATTTTACTAAAAAAAAAAAAAAAATAGGGTTAAAAAAAAATTGTTTTATCTTCTACATATTTTGAGAAAATGTAGAATATAATTCTTGATAATATATAATGATTTACAAAAAAAAAAAAAAAAAAAAAATAATATATAAATATATATATATATATATATATATATATTTATATATATGTATATATTTATATATATGTATATATATGTATAATGGAAATATATCGTTAAGCCCATTTATAAATATCTTAAAAAAAAGGAGGCATATTTTTTTCCTTTAATAAAAACATTTCCATTGTTTAAAAAAGTTAAAATTATTAGTTTTTCTTTAATTTTTTCAATTCCATATTCTTCTTTTTATTTTCTTCTAATTTCTTTCTTATTTCACTTAATTCTTCCTCCGTTGGAGGTTTTTGCTTTCTTTTTTTTGAATTTTTCTTACCATATTCTTTTTCAATATTTGAGAGAAGTGAATTAATTTTTAAAGTTCTTCTTGCTTCATTATTTCTTATAGCTAAAACTAAATCATCAATAGGTTGCTCACTTTTTCTTTTTTTACTTTTTTTAGAATCCTTTTTCATCAAATTTTTATATTTTTTAATAATATTATTTATATTTTTTAACGAATCGCTATAGCTAGAAGTTTTCTTTATTTTTTTTGATTTAAATAAGTTTTCAAAAATATTCACAAATCTATCTAAATCATTTTCATCACTAAATGGTATATATTCTAAAATATTTTCTAGATTTCCGTTGAATTTATTATAAAACTGAATTAAATCTTCTTTTTCATCTTCACTATTTTTGTAGGATTTTTCATAATTTAATATATCTTCTACTTTAATTCTAGAGTGAAATAATTTAGGATCAAAGAAATTTTTGAATTCTGAAAATTCATCTTCTAAACCATATTCATCGTAATTTTTTCTTTTGTCTGGATCCCTTAATATTTCATACGCTCTCTGAATTTGTAAAAACATTTCTTTACATTTTTCTAAAGTTAATTCTTCATTATCATTGCTATTTAGACTTTTATCATCCTTTTCTTTTTTCTTTCCTTTTTTTTCCTTTTCAGCTTGTTTTTTTTGTTCTTTTCCTTCATTATTTAGCTTTTTACTATTTGCTAAAAATTTGTCAGGATGATATATCAAGGCCAATATTCTGTATGCCTTAGCTATCTCTTTAATAGTAGCATTTTTTTCAATACCCAAAATATCATACAAGCTTAATTTTTTATCATTTTTCATTTTCTTTTTCTTGTTACTTTTAAAATAGTTTGTTCTATTTTTTATAGTTTTATATTTTTAAAAAAAAAAAAAATTAAATTAATTGAAATATTATAATGATACGAAAAGTAAAGTCTTTATTTTGTTTCTTATCTTAAAAATATAATTTTTTCAAATTTATATATTGTTGAAGTATTCTACTTATTATATTACACAAATATAAATAACTCAAAAATATATTTTTGTAGAAAATACTTTTAATTTTCACATGAGAAATCTTGACTTTTATTTTTTTTTTTTTTTTTTTAGAAACCCAATTTATAAAATTTAGTTTTTTTATTTTTTTAAAAGAAATTTTTTCTTAAAAATTTTAGAATTTTAACTAAAATAATTAAAATTAATAGTATAAAAGCTAATATTTTCTTTTAAATGAAAAATTTTTTTTTATATGTATAATGCCAATTTAAAAAAATTATTTTTTCTTTTAATTGTTTATGAAAATGTTCTATTTAAAGAATATGATTTTTTGATATTTAAACATAAAAATATATTTTTTTTTTTTAAACTTGATAAAATTAATAAAATGAAACTTAATAAAAATTTGACAACTTAAATTTACTGAAGTGCAATTTATTTTATTAATAATATACAATATTTTTATAAAAGATATTTTATTTTGATTAGTAATATTACTTTTTCTTGCAATTTATTTATTTATTTTTTTTTTTTTTTTATTAATGTATTCTAAATAAAAACTGAAATTACATGAAAAGAATAATTTGTAATAAAAATATTAATATATTAATTCTCATAAATGAAAATAATAATTTTTTCATATTAAAGTGTTCATAGCATATAAAATTCCAGCCAATATCTTGTAAATAGTTATACTATTTTTTTGAAAAAATTAAAATAATAAATGCTCAAAAATAATTATATATAATCAACATTTGCCATTTTTCTTCTTTATGTGACTCTGTTTAATAATATTATATATGTTTTTAAGTTTTATTTCCCTTTTCAAATATATTTTGATATGTATATTTATTTAGTAAATTCTTTTCTGTATTTTTATTAAAATTTTATTTCTCTTAAAAAGCACCTATAAAAAATACTAAAAAAATTAAATTTTTTATATGAAAGATTTGTAAAAATTTGATAAAATTTGTGTTCCATATATTAGAATGTTTTTGCTCATATTTGTAAAATTACCTACATACTTTAAAAACAAAAAATAAGAAAATTTACAATGAAGAATACATTAACCATAATTTAATTGTCAAAAGTAATAATAAAGTGTATAAGAAAATTAAAATTAATTAAAAAAAAAATTTATGTAACAAATTGTAAAAATGTAGAATAAAATTATAAAAAAAAAAGTTAAGTTTCTGACATGTTCTATTTAACTTTATGAATATATTTTTTAATTAAATTTTTTTCAATACATATATTTATGAAAACATAGAAGTATGTGTATATATATGTTAATTATTTTTTTTTTATTGCACATATAAACCCTGATAAGAACCTTTTTTTTTTATTTCTTTTGTTTTCTATGAAATATTGAAAAGAATCCTTATTTGAAAAAGAAAAAAGAAATAAATAAAAAATGCACGAATAAAAAATAAAGATAAAAGATAATCTAGACAATATCTATTAGTTCAATGTAAACATCTAAATATCAACACACATTTTTAAATACTTTTTAATTTATTTTTTTTTTTTTTTTTTTTTTTTTTTTTTTAA